GTTGGCCAGCGCGACGAGTGCCTCGCGCACGCATGTGCGTTCTGGCTGGTTGGAGGAGGGGGCCTCGTCCTTGGCGTTCTTACAGCCTCCTTCGCAGCCCGCGGCTGACGCCACGAGGGAGAGCCCTGCTAGTGTTGTTTTTGTTGTTGTTGGTGATGGGGATGGTGCAGCTCTGGTGACAAGCGTTGCCATTGTTGTTCTGGCGTTTCCGTTTGGAGTTGCGTCGGCACTGGCGCACATGACGGCGATGGCCATCAGACCGCCAAAGAGGAGAGATTTGATTGCCATGGTGAGGGTTGAGTTGAGATGTTGTCTTGATGTTGGACGAGTGTAAGTCTGAGTGTTTACCTCGATGACGAGGTGAAGGTCTGCGCAAAAGTCTGTCGATGGCGAGGTGAAGCTATGCTCTAGAGTCTGTCCGTGAGAGAAGTCAAAGTCACTGGCAGAAGAGCTATAGAGTTGTTTGACAACAGCACTGCATGGGCTGGACCTTTATGTTATTGACCAGCAGTCCAAAGTCCTCAGTATGAGGACCGCGATGGTGAGGACCTCGACAGTGAGGACCTCCCACTGCCAGCCCAAGCTTCTGTGAACCAAAATGTCCCGCTGTCTCTGTTGGTGAACCAGATAATGCATGTGTTAGCCTCGGAGAATCACTCTTAGAGGAATCCAGGAGTTTGGTACAGCACAAACATGAGGGAAAGAAGGTTTAGCAACCAATGGAACGGACAGCGGATACCACAAGGGCCGTCCGTGGACGATCATCTTTCCAGATCCCAGTTTCCTGGGTGTCAGCATATCTGTCTCTTACCTGTGTCCCTCGACAATGGTGCCTTGTAACTGCATCATCGCGATCGAAACATGAAAAAGGAAACGGGTTGACTCGATTCCAGCTCTGCGAGAGGCTGAAGCGTTGAAAAATCCAGACTCGAGTCATCGGTAAAGGTCATTTCGTGTCATTACCAAACGAGAGACAAATCCTCATATCAGATCAAGTTGATCCCAGCCCAACCAGGTCCCAAATCTAACTCCCACCCTTTTGTTCCGTTGGTGCTATGCAATCCAGTCCAAAAATTCCCTGCCTCGCGCGATGCTTTCCTCCTGGCGACACGACGTTTTTCACCATCTGTCATTATTCTGTACTTGATTCCCTCTCCTCAAAGTGTCCATCATCCTCGTCCTCCACTTCTCCCTCCCCAAGTACCTCCGCCGGTTCAGGTGCGACAACTGCATTCTGAGGTACCCCCTGGGTTTCGTGCACAGTCTGCTCGAATATAGACTGAGGGCCATTGCCATTGCCGTCTCCCACCGGCTGCATAGGGATAGGGAGTGCATCGAGATGCGCAGTGTGCTGGTGAGGATCTGCGACGTCAGCTCCAAGTTGCATCGCCAACATCTGGTGCGTCATCGCTCGGGCCGCATCGCTCGCCGTGCGTGCGATCCTGACCGCAACCTCGGCTTCGTCGTCCAACCGAATATCTGGCAGCGCCAGAGCAGCCAAAGATCCAGGAGGAAATTGATCTCTCAAACGCTGGATCCGACGGATCAAATCACGGGCCAGAGCACCCATGTCTTCCAAATCTTGTATGTCCTGTGGGTTGCTTCCGGCTCCTGTTTGGCCGCCACCAGTTGACCGCCCCGAACCACCCGCATCTATTTGGAAGTGTCCTGTACCGGGATATTGGGCGTTTAGACTAGAGAAGAAGTCCACCAGCCCATCGATTGCCTCCGCTGTACTGGAGGGACTGGCGCCTGGCCCCAGACTCGTCCGTCGGGCTTCCAGAGGTTTGCGCATCTTGTCCTTGCGCTTCCTCGGTTTCTTGCCGTGCCATGATAGGGCAGCCAAAAATGCTGGTGACCTCCGCTTACATTTTCCTGATCGCATTCTCTCCCATCGGCAATTCGGACAGAAAAACAGAGGAGATTCAGATGATGCAGTAGTCGGTGGGAGGATTGGGGGTATGTTGTTAGCTTCTTCGATCTGAGAAGCTCGGCACCCCTTGCAAGGACACGGAGGTTCCAGGCTGCTTGCGCAATCGCCACAGACGTAAACCTTGCATTCCATGCAGGTCTTCATGACCGCCGTACAGCGTCGCCTGTGGTCGCCAGGGGCCGAACGTGACACTGGGCAGAAGAGTGTTTGACAGCCTCGCCAACCCGGACCTTCTTCAACGTCCGGTCGAGTTGGCCGTCGAGGCGCAGAGCTCGGCTCCGGAGTCGCAGTCATTGAATACGCCGATAGCGAGGGAGAGGTAGATCGAGACGGAGGCCCGCTGCTGTTCGAAGCGGGCGATAGTGGACGTTGGAGCCGTTCAATCTCTGCCAGATGTGTTCGTATTGTTCTCGAACCAGTTCCCATCTCCGCATTGAGTGCAGCCTCGGCCGCTGCTACCGCTAACGATGCCGAGGGGGAGAGAGGAGAGCCCGATTTGACGCCAGCTCTCCCAGCTTTGGGGGTCCTGACAGCCATACCAACCTCGGCCAATTCTGCTTGCTCTGCTGCCGCCTCCTTTTCTTTCCGTTGTCGCATCAATGTAGCGAGCAACTTCAAAGCCTTCACTCTCGACTTGAAATCTTGTCTCTCGACGGGGAGTTCTCTGTAGCCGCAGATCCTGGCTTTGGCACGCTCACCAATATCATGTTTGATACAAATCGGTGTTGAACAGGCCTTGCATTTGACTTTCCAACTTTCCGAACCATAGCAGTCATCACACAAAACCCGAGGGACTGACAAGGTAGGGTGGTCTCCACCGGTCAGAGATGCAGCAGTCTCAAACAAAGCACTAATATTCGCCCAGCGGCCGGCAGGTCCTTCTTTAGGTGCACTGTCATCTGCAGGATAGCTGACGACACCGGGAGCATCACGAACGAACTCCGGATCCTCCCAGTTCTGTCCGATTGGAAGGGGCGCCGCACGAATGCGGTCCGAGTCCCGATTCGCACTGTTGCTGAAGGTGATGCCACCGCCACCTGAAAAGACTGGCTCTGTGCAACACCATTTGAATTTGATATTTGGAAGGGTATTCGTGTTTGTGTTTTGGTTCCCGTTGGGCGCTCCGTTGGGAGGTAGATCTTGATCTTGCATGGAACAAGGAGAGACGGCACATCCGGGAGCCCACCAGAACTTGTTTCTTTCTTCTTCAGGAGCATTCTTGTTTCGCAAGTAAGGACGATCGAACGCGCAACTGGCACATAGTGTCTTCCTGCACCCGGTGCAGTGCATCATGACCGAGCACTGTTCACACCGTTCCAGGATCTCTGCTGAACAGTTGTGGCAAATGACATTTTCGACGAATTTTCGGTGAGATGCTCGTAGATGTGCCGGCGTTGCTTTGCCCTCGGGACCCGTGCCAATGGTTTCGCCGTTCATCCCCTCCTCGTCAACTTCCCAACTCCTGCAATCCCATTTCCGCTTCTTGGTCAAGGCGTAGTTTCTGGGTTGCTCAGCTGGGCCCAGCCAATTCCGACTCCTCCACAAGCGATCATAGACTACCCAGACTTCCCGGGGGTCCTGGGGCATACGCAGTTTCACATACCCTCTCCTCCGATAACACCTGGCGCCGGGCGTGGTGCACCAAGCCGTATCTGTCCAGATGCCTAGTTTGTGGCAGGTCAGAACCAGTTCATGCGTGGGCTCGCTATCGCTCTCCTTGCGTGCGAGGCTACTCGGCAAATACGGCCTCCTCCTGTGATGGCGGCATCGATAGGTATATAAACTCTTCAGAGCAAGGGTTTCGAAACCGGGAGGGCCTTTGGCATCCGGTGACTCGCGAGCCAATGCATGCATTTGTAACCATGGGTTGATGTGGTATTTCAAGGAGACATTCTTGCACCCGCGCACTGAGACGTGGCGAAGGGTCTCCCTCCTCAATATCAGCACAGTGGACGTCAAAGTTGTCCCACTAACAGCCGTATTATCCAACTCTAGGCTGACAAGCCTCGTGCTAAAGGGGTTTATGACTGTCAGGATGATTTGGGCGAGGGCGTAGTTGCTCGACTGCCTTTGTCCGTTATTTCCAGCCACGTTGACGCCGACGGTGGCAGTCGTGACCGCGGGTTGGTATAGACGCCATGAGATATATCGCCAGGAGGTCGGAGATTTCGAGAAGAAGTCACGCAGGTAGGGTGAAGTCTGATAGAGTTTGAAGATGGACTCAGTTGGAACCTGAGCGAGGAGTGATTCGAGGATGGGCGGGTTGCAGGTAATCAAGAGTTCGAAGGGCGAGAGGGTCTTTCGGACAGGCCCAAGTACCGGCAACGAAGACTGTACTGGTTCTGGGGCAATGGCCATTATGAGTACTGGGATAATGGTGTCGAGAGTATTAGAAACTCCGAACACATATTTCGGGTCGTCAATGGAACGAGGGAAACACGGTCAACGTGCTTGAGGAGAAAGTGGACGGTAACATCCATGCACCTCTACGACCATGACATTTATTTGGAAAAGAGATGACCAATTCAAGTGAAGTCTCATCGATGTATAGAAGAGAGAAGACGAGTCGGGCGCTGATTTGAGAAGGGCGCAGGTCAGGCTGGAAGAGGGTCTCCCCCTCCACGTGACGAAAAAGGCACCAACAGCAGCCTCACTGGCGCGTGGTTGGGTGCGGCGGAGCCTGTGGCGCCTCACTGTGGCAGACCACTAGGTGCCTTGGGTGCCCTCTGTCGGGAAACGGATCCTCGGGCGCCCCTAAGCAAGCACCACTGGCGCACCCTGTACGAGGTACGAGGTACCGAGTTATGCACATATCATAAGTTGCACCTCTTCGCTAACAAGAGAGTCAAACCACCATTCAACCGTCCAGTACATACAGGGAGGGTTTCCTCTGCCCTATCGATCGCTGCTTCAACGCCACTGCTCCATTTAGAATACAAGATACTAAATACAAAACCCGGCGGCAGATCTGCGCTCCTAAGAGGATGGAATGGTGTTTGGGGGTTGAAATACAAAGTCTCTGAGGCCGATGAGGCCGAGTAAATCTGCAACTCGGCGTCTTCAAGGGTCACGAGCTTATTATGCTGTGTCCGTCCAACAGCTTGACCGCCATCAGATCAATTCCCACAAGCTGAGCAGGAAATCGTAGCAAGGCTCTAACCCTTTCGTCCTGATCGTGCATCAAGAATGTCGTGATGGCGACGCATTCATTCTTACATCTTGCGCTGCTCCACCACTGATCGAGCCCAATCATCAATGCCAACCAATGGGCCAGGATCAACAGTGCTCGCTTGTCTCTACAAAGCAACAGTCGAAGAAAGTCTCCTTCCACCGACCCGACGAATGTGACCAGCTTGTTAAAGGTGTTCATCCCCGGCTTGAGTCTTCGTGTGAAGAGTAGATGCTCCAACGCCTCGTAATAAGGGTTGTTCTGAGACGACGAGTCCGGGGTAACCTCGCATAGCTCCAGAAATAATGCATGAATATCGTCGCCGGCCTCTGCAGTCATGATTGTAGACGCGAGTTCCTTGATATCCGAGTCCGTGAAGACCGGATTCCAGACAGATCCCCAAATTACTTCACCCAGCTCAGCATACAGAGCATTAAACCCATGCTGAATCGTCAACCATCTCAGACACTCACTTCGACGCTCCGCTGGTGCGTACACGAAACTCGTTCCAGGATCCGGTTGAGATTGGGGGAGCATAAATTGATGGACGCAAATTAGCATCACCGTCGATAGCAGGGCATTCATGTTGGCCTTGGTGACGCCGGTCGCCAGCTCCTCGCGAAAGAGTTGCAATGCCCTCTGAAAGTGGTAGAAGTTCGTCAGCTGGTTCTGGTTATGTTGGGCCGGGTGTCGAGCAGCAGGAAGAAGATGACACAGGTGTGCAGCCGAGACACCATTCACTGCGTGCATGAGGTAGGGCTTTTCGAGGGCCAGATCGAAAGCAGTGGTTCGTATGATCTCTTGTCCCATGTTGGATCCCATCGAGCAGTATGTGACGGTGCTAAAATGACTGAATGTGTGTACCATGGAGGTCATTTGACTGGGAATTCCGAATGGAAAAGGAGAAGGTGGGTTGCGAACCAGTGTTAGGGGTACGAGAGATCTTGAGCTCGGTCCTTGACTGATTTTTCTGACCAAGGATCGTGAACCATTGTCACTTGAGCAGGAAGACGTAGGAGAACCATGTTGCTGCTGCTGCTGCTTTGGTAGGATGACAGAAGCACGGGACGGCAGTTGGGCTCCGTTGTTATAATCACAAGCAAGTCCATGGCTCTGGCACTTGAGACAACCACCATCTCTGTTCTCATCGCACTAGAGATAATGTATTAGTCCACTCACCAAGCTGTGCGTACATTCAAGTACTCGGAGAGAAAACTACCTTGATTCGTCGCTGTTTGCAGGTCCTGCAGCCGTGCCGCGACTTCTTGTGGGACCTCCTCGTATGAACTGGTGTCTTTTCTGCTTTGGACAATCTGCTGGCCCTTGATTTAGCGGATTCAAGGGTGACCCTGAACACTGATTGCATGGCGGGTAAAGAAGAGTAAAAACTACTCGGAGCTCACGTGCGACGCACCCCGAGCGTGCCGCTTTTATAACCACTCACCCTCCCCTCACCCTTCGCACTCACCCTTCGTCCTGACCCTGCTCCACCACATACAGCGCCAGCTAGAAGCCTAAATTAGCGGCGCGCCGACCGTTCTTTCTTCTCCGCCTTTTTCGACTTTCGACCACTTTCTCGTCCCCCTCCCTCGTTCGGACGGAGACTCTCCCTCCTTGACAATGGAGTACAAAGGGCAGCGTCGTATCCCAGACTAGTAAAAGATAGCGCTTTGCGCTTGTCACACCATCAGATGGAGGCCAACACAAGAATTCCTTTCCTCCGAAGTTCGAATGACCTACCTGGACTCCTACCTAGGTACTTCGAGTCAGATCCGGGAGTCGCCAACCATCACCCATGGAGTCGACCCTTGCGCAGATAAAAAGGTAGTGATCGTTGGACCTTACGTGGTCAAGTACGGGAAAGAGGTCAGTCTATTAGAAGGACAAAACTTGCTTTTTATCGAGGAGAACTTCCCTAAAGTCCCGGCTCCGAAACTCTACGCGATGTGGTGGGATGCCGAAGAAGTCTTCGTTGTCATGGAGCTGATCCCAGGCCAAACACTAGATACTCTTTGGCCAACTTTTGGAGATGAAGACAAAGTTATCATTCTGAACAAGCTTCGAGACATATTCGAATCACTTCACAGTCCCCCTGGCCAGGGTTTCTTCGGTAGCGTCCTGAAGGGGCCTATCCCGTATCATTTATTTTGGGATTCAGATGGTGATCGGACGATTACGGGGCCGTTCGAGGCTGCGAGCGACATGATCTATGGACTGGCCAAGAGATCAAGGGCGAATTCAGCCCTCAACCACAGAGATCCCTATCTCGCAGAATTCTTTGAAAGGAACCTCGCCCCGGCCCTCGATGACCGCTCAGCAACCTTTTGTCACTCGGATGTACAACGGAAGAATATCATTGTCGAAAATCTGCCTACCCATGTTACTGGGATTGAGAATATACGGGTAGTCCTCTTGGACTGGGAAGTTGCTGGCTGGTATCCGAGCTATTGGGAGTACGTGGCAGCATTCATAGCATTCAGATGGGATGACGAGTGGCCCAAAAGAGTGGAAGACTTCCTCCCGGTAAATGTAGCGCCCGCTGCAATGTTCAAATTGATCCATCAAGATCTATGGTACGGAAGTGGCTCGGACTCCGTTTACCATTGCTCCAAAGTGCACGTGCTAGAGGTGCAGGGCAGTCGTTAACGGGGCTGCTCAAATGTGCGAGATGTTATAAATGCTGATTCTTGGAGGATCGTCATGATACCTAGTACTAGCGCTTCTGCCCACATTTGCGCCGTGGTTTCTTTGGGATGGTATTCTTCTTTCTCGGGGCCCAAGGCACCACCGACACCATTATGGTTGAGGACTTTGTTGAACAGCCTTTCTACCACTGTGGAAGATTCCCCGCGCCGAAGGCGATCCTGGTCATGGACAGTGCGTCGTATTATCTTAGTGAGCGAATCCGGCGAATGTGCGACACGGCAGACATCAAGCTTTTGTACTTGCCGCCAAACTCACCCCCGCTTCCCATTGAAGAGTTTATTGGCCGAATCAAAAGCATTCATCAAGAAGAACTGGAAGGTATACGAGCAGAACAATGGACCGGGCTTTAGACTGTTGCTCGAATGGTGTGTGGACGTGGTGTGAAGAAAGGCAGAGAGCGCGTGAGGTCACTTCCCAACGTTTGCTTCAGTAGTTAGCGGACTAAATACTTGGCGGCCAGGCAACAGCTGATCAGGAGTCGGTCATCTTCAATCACGAAGCAGCTTCTTTCAAAGCCTTCACCCATGAGCGAGCCATTGGACTGGTGGAGACTCAACTGGTGCGCTTTAATAGAATGGTGCGCGGCAATATCTGCCAGGCAGCAGACTATACCGTTCGGCAGGTCAATGCGTGCATAAACCGGTGTGGCAATTTCTCTTTGTGACTTGTTTAAAGTTATAGATTGTCAAATATTCATCTAGTGCGCGAATTCCTCTTGCTTATCTTTACTCTTAGTCCTTTGCTGACGTGCAAGACCCAATAAACCGTCGACAGGGAAAAGGATCATTGTTTCTCATTGGAAGAACCTCTGACGGATGTAGAAGCCACTGCAGAAACTAGAAATACTTTAAGAGACGCAGCAGCTGACAGATCACTACAGGGAGTGTTAGGGGTTGGGCAGGCTCTATCATCGGCGTGTCGCCCATCGCGCACCACGATCGTAGACAGTTTACGATCCGGAGCCTGTCGTGGAGGGCGTCTACCTCCAGGACCACTCGACACAGGTCAACAAGGGTCAAGAGCAATATCTTATCGGATAATTGTCCTTCAGGCCCTTCGACTCGCCCATAGTGTGCTTCCAGACTTGGACAATTTCATCCACGACGCGAAGCACACTGAGCTGTCCGATATCCTAGGGGTTGGAGAGGGGTCTTATATGCAATGAAATTCATATCACTCGATAGATCATGCAGGGGAAGTTAGTCAAGTTACTGAGCCAAGAGGCTGAGTATCAAGGCCGCTATTTCATTTACCAACGCTGAAGACTTTGACGTGTTCAACTCAACATCAATCCCTTCCCAACAGATCTTAGACCGAGCACCTGGGCGTACCTCGATCATGACGAGCCGGCCGTATGATGACCAAGTGCAATAAGGAACTGGAGCAATCCCAACACCTTCCAATATAGACTTTTCGGTATCCGATACAGAGATCTCCTCAACTCCGAACCTCGCTCTTGCCTCCATTTTTCAATTGTAGACCTCGAAACTTTTTCTCAAGGCTTGAAATTGAATTATGTAGCTCTTCTTTGAGATGATAGGTTCTTCGGAACGATTCCTCATCATCTAGAGATGAATACCCCTTTCGCTCTTTCTTCGTGAGCTCCTTACACAGAGGGGAGAGTTCCATATCTCGGACGGCGGCAAAAAGAGACTTTATTGACCTATTCAAGAGTAAGGCGTCTGGGACCGGGTAGAGCCCGATGTTCTTCAAGCCTTTGATGAGCTTTCCCAAAAGTAGAGCATCGCAATCTTTGTCTCTGCGACAGAGGCAACGAGGGCCCTCATAGCGATCAATCAGACTCGAGAGAATGGAAAGAAATTCGGTCAAGATCTCTCTTCGGTAAGACCGGATTTCGGCTAGATGTACTTAGAATATGTTCACACCGTTCTACCGGGGGAACTTACCAATGATCCAAAAAGGGACCGGTACGTCTGGGTCTTCAAGTCCGTTGTCGGTCTCTAGAATGGCGATTTCCGTCAAGGCCTCAAACTCTTCTGACTTTCCCAGGCTCCAGCAAATGTAAATCCAAGAAGCTATGTCTCGGTGAAGATTTCGTGGCAGTGTGGGTCGAAGAGATTCGAACCACATATCTGTGAAGACTTCAGCCACCTCATGAAACTCATACTTGTCAATCAAGATGACAGCCTGCAGGAGAATGTTTCTCTCTACTTGTCTTGGAACTCTTCTTGTCAACCCATGGATAATGTTGAGCAAAATCTGCAGCGAATAAAAATCATCTCCCTGGAGAGGGATGGTTCTCATTTCTTTGTTGTTTGGCTCATGCCCGTTCAGGTCCAAGCTTTGGTCGCCGAACATATTGGCGAAGAACTTAGAGGCCAGTGAAAGATGTTTCAATGATACCTGCATTTCGACTGCTTGGGTAGATGTCTTAGACCAAAGCCCTGTAAATGTATTATTTGATGGTTCTTCGTTATTGGAGAGGTGTGACACGTCCTGCTCTTGAGCGTCATCACCATGAGCATCGTGGGCGACAACTTCGGACTGAGTCGCATCTCGATTGAGCAATAGGAAAAGTTCTCCAGAAGGATCGAAAACTACAAGCTCACAGCATGGCAACATCGGGAAAATTTTGTGGCATACCCCACTGGCCTGCAAAGACGTATACTGTAGAGAGAGCTGAGGAAATGAAAGAATGCCACCTAGGTTCAGCCCAGCCGTGGAACGATTGCTGCCTGATCCCCTTCATCATGAAGAAGCTGAGGGCAATTGATTGGCCGCCAAAGCCGAGGGAAGACCCGAGTCTAGAGCTTGGCATGCACCTAACCTGCGCTGCCACAACTATCGCATCCTCTCGTGGTAAGCTACAGTATTTGCTGTGCATACAGTAGTACCGCACCTCTTCTGATACCGATACCAAGACGAATTTGATTTAATTTGATCGCGCGCACTCCACCTCTTCGTCGCGTACTCTTCAATCTCAGGCACCGTAAACAGTGGTGGGGTAAGAAAGTGGAGGACCTTAAGTCCATTTCCCACCGTGGGCGTATACGAAAGGGGCGTAACTCCCTTCCATGAACTGGGGCTGTGATTTTTGGTGTTTCTCGAGGTGTAGGTGATGAATTTCGGGGCTTCGACGCGTCTTTCATAAGAGGATAACCGCGTTGTTGCTCCTCCTGGCACTCAAAGACAGCTTGACTGTTTCTCTGAGAGTTCCCAGTGGACAACACGTGAAGGTGGAAGCTCCTCGTCCGCCTACAGATCCCCAATTTTCTGCCTTGTACTGCGCAAGAGGGGAGGAACGTCGTCCCGTCATTGTGTTTCGGTAAATTCAAGTGGCTCTTGGGGTACGGAGGTGCAAGTTGGCCTATCTGGCAATTACAAACTACAATGCCGCGGGATGCCTGGTGTCACTTCTTCAGGACTGGGTTCAGGCCATCGACTCAACACTGATTCTCAACTCTGATATTTTGCGCGGTCTATTCGCTATGACGACTCGGGATCTCATCTATTCGGTCGACAGTCTTCTTGCTCTCAATCATTGTCGCGCTGCAACGCTGTTGTTTCAGCCTCCTGGGCTGCTTTCTCACATTCGAACCGCCGAGGTCCTTTCCTGTTACCTCGCAGCCCTGCCACCGCAGCCTCATGCCGCAGAGCCTAATCCCTGGGCCCTAGTTCTGCAGACGAGTGACACAAGAATGCTGCACATCGAGCTGAAGCAAGCTGATCCCCTTGGCGGCAAAACTTTCGTTGTATGCAGCGAGCGCCCGTTCAGACTTGATGATGGCAAATTACAGGGTTATGTCAAGAGCTGGCTAATTACGGTGCGAGAGGGAAGCACTGTTGGTGCATGGTTGGATACACTCTTCGATTCTGGTGCAACAAGATATGAATTGACCAAGAGCCCGTCAAGAGGAGGAGCTGGTAAGCCGACGAGAATAATATTTGGGGCGAGTAAACTAAAAGACGCTTAGGCACTCGTTGGTGGATTGATTGCATTCTGGGTGCGCTCAATCGGTTCTTTACCAACGACCAAAAACGGCAAGACTTGAAAATTTGGCTTGGACTAGGTTGGGATCGGGACGGAAACCCTATTTTCCCTGGTGAAATGCAGACTCTTCAAAGAGGGACGTGGCTGGAGATGCATTAGATTCCAGTTTAATCGGGGATTGTCTAGTAATGACGCTGATCTACTCTTTAGAAAGCCTTGTTTGAGTCCTCGAATCCCAATGTCATGGCTAAGCAGGCTCTGAATTGGTCCCTCCCTTAAACCCATTTTCCTATCTTGAGCGTCATAATCAGTGTCTCCCTCGATATACAGTGGTTCCCGAACCCGCCTTCCCCCCTTTTTGCAGACACATTGCAGCTTTCCCCTCTAAAAGATACTGTGGTGTTTCCCATACTGTCCAGTCCTGTCAACCAATCAGATACAGCGTAGGCGTAACTGGATGTGCAGCCACAAACTTTGAGTCTCAAACGCATCGATGAAACTTTGTGTTCACATCGGCCGGTGGTTGCCCAACGTTGGAGCCGAGGCGATTTGATTGGTTGAATGATCATGGCCACGAATGGGTATGAAAGGTGTGTGATTGCACTCTGTCCGCATGCCATATATTGACCATTCTACTAGTGGGGATTTTTTTCCACGAGCGCACAAGTTCATTGAGATCTTGCTCGTTCGAGTCATTCAGTCCAAAGATCACTTCATCAACGGAATTTTATCGGACAGCCGGCTCCTCCACTGTCAAACCCCGTCCCCCATTTCAGGTGTATAGGCTCGGGTCGGATCGAGTCGAGTCGAGATCACTCCCAGGTCTTGCCATACTGATCAAAAGCGAACTTTCTGCCCGGATGGTCCGCTCTCAGCTTTGCATCTCCGGGGGTGCCAAACAAATTCTCCCGTGCCGTGCTCTCGTCGGGCGTCGGATAGTCCTGGTTGTACCCCCTCCTCTCCAGCTCGGGGATCAGTAGATCAACCACATCCTCCCACGCCCCGGGCACGACGACATGGCCGATGTTGAACCCGTCCACATCGCCTTCATTGAGCCAGCGCTCCATCTCGTCGGCCACGGTGACGGGGCTACCCGCGATGAACGTTCCACTGCCTCCGATGGCTTGGAAATTGCCCAATTCCCGTGGGGTCCAGACCTGGCATCTCTCGGGCTTAGTCGTCAGAGCTTCGATGGCACGGTCGCTGAGGCCTTTGTATGCCGGATGATTGCGGTCGGTGGGGAATGGCTCGTCGATGGGAAACTGGCTGACGTCGATCTTGGTGATGCCGCAGAACAGGGCGAGGCCGCCCTCGGGAATGGCATATTTTCGATACTCGTCCAGCTTGGCCTGTGCTTCTTCGTCGGTCGGCGCCAGGATCGGGGTGAATTGGACGAAAAACTTCAGATCGCGAGGGTTACGGCCTTGAGTAGCTGCCAGCCGCCGTGTCTCTGTGATCTTGCCGCGCAAATATCCCGGGGTTCGTCCTCCGATGAAGATGCATTCGGCGTGTTTCGCTCCAAACGCTGCGCCTGCTCTGCCCTAGAGTTAGCGGGAACACGCATAGTGGCTTGATTCTGCAAGTTTCGCAAGGTCACAATACTCACGGTGACATGCCCGCTTGAAAGAGCACCGGTGTTCGTTGTGGTGAAGGATCGACCAAGTGAGCGCTTACACACTTGAAGAAGCGGCCTCGATGCTCTATCTTCCGGACCTTGGACGGGTCGGTGTATGTCGCATTTGCAGAGTCTTGCACCACGGCGTCATCAGCCCAAGAACCCTCCCAAAGCCTGTGTCAATGTTCAGTTAACAGGCCCACAGTTTATACAGCAACCATTGACATGGAGAGCTGACCACATCAGAGTCTGATGGAGAGAGGCCTGGACTTACTTGTACATGAGGTTGAGATACTCCTCGGCCATTTCGTAGCGCAGATCATGCTCGGGCAGTTGCTCCAGGCCCACAGCCCGGGCAGCGTTGTCCGACCATGAGGTCACAATGTTCTATACGCACCACACGGTCAGTCAGTTGGTTCATGCCAACGCAGAACAGACCTGGGTCGGATCGGGTCGAAGCATTCCCAATGACTACTCACCCAGGCAATGCGGCCCTTGGTCACATGGTCCAAGGTGGAAAAGCGTTTGGCCAGAAGAAAAGGCGGTTCAAAAGTCGTACACGAAGTCACGCCAAAAGCCACATTTTTCGTGACTGCTGCCATGGCCGAGATGATCTGTCGCGTGTGTAAGTGACAGAACTATTTCCGAGATGCGAATTCTTGGATTGATCAACCTACCACGAAAGGATCATACATCGGCCACTGGGTGCCCGCTCGAATGGCCGGCGCATGACTGCCGCCAAAGACATCGTGCGATCCGAAGTTGTCGGCGAGAAAGAGGGCGTTGAATTTCCCCCGGTCGAGCAGTTTGGCGAGGTTGATCCAGTAGTCCAGACGGTTCTTATACTTGGACTTGTCGACCGGATTGCGCCATTGTCCTGGGCTTTGACCATGATATTGTCATGTCAATTCATGTTTTTCATCATCGCGCAGAGATGGTCGTGTTCAATCTTTCAAAAGCAGCGCACTTCACTGGAACTCACCTGATGTGGCCAATTCCATTCATGTCAAAGGCATTGAGCAAAATGCGCTTTTTCGGCTGAGGAGGAGGAGGAGGAGGAGGAGGAGGAGGAGCATCGTCGACAATGGCGATCCTCGCCTGCTTGTCGTTCTGGCCGTCGTTGCTCATCTTCCCTCAATCTCGTCTCAATCTTGATTAGCCCTCGAAATGTCTCGTTGAAGATTGGGAGCGAAATGCACCTTTTGAGAAAAATCAGTCTGCCACAACCACCCTATATTCTCTGTGCGCTCCCTCCCTACCCTCCCCCTTTTGGTTCTTGGCCACCTTGCCAGCCAGCCAGCCAGCCAGCCTTGCGATTCCAGTCAACCTTTGACCAGTCCATCCGGGGCGGATACAGCACAGATAGCTGTCGTCTCCGATATCGCCCTTGCGACCCGGTTTATCGTTGTTACCATCCAGAACGATAATGATGCGATCAAACCTAGTTGTCGACTGGTATGAATATCTCTTTGCGCCAAGTATCATGGTCCGTGGTCGAGGTCCCATGGTGGGGGCGACGTTATCTGGGACCCATGAAGTTGAAGCCAATGGCCTAATCGGGAATACTTCGCTCTGGGCATGTCACGCAATTCCAACGTCTGAAGTCGACACTCCTGCCAAGGGAGGTGGTTGACAGTGCTTTCAACCACTGATGTTCCGTCGAGCAGATCAGCACATGATTCTTCTATCTGCACAGAGACACTATCTTCTGACTCGTAACCACGCTGGAGCAAAACGTGGCCGGTAAATTTTGCACTGCCAAAGCTACAACAAGAAAACAGCAAGCACCAAGGTCCAAGGTAGACTTTGTCGACAGTTTGTGATGGGGGTTTGACTTCCTTCTGATGAAAGCAAGTTCACGGCGTTGCCTTTTTTCGGTGCCTCCGCCGGCCGTCTATAACCGGCGCTCATCGTTGCACCAATCGAAGAGGAGAAAGGAATAATAAACATCGTTCTCTAACAAAAACAACCTCCCTGGTCTCAGACCAAGTCCTCGTGCAAGCGTCTGAGGTCTAC